TATATATATATATATATATATATATATATATATATATTATATATATATATATATATATATATATATATATATATATATATATATATATATATATATATATATATATATATATATATATATATATATATACCCGCGGTGCTCTGTGATAAGACCGTAAGGACTTCTTGGGGCACCTTAATCAACTTAAAAAAAATAAGTATATATATATATATATATATATATATATATATATATATATATATATATATATATATATATATATAATAATATTAATAATAATAATAATAATAATAATAATAATAATAATAATACTTGCGTAAATTATGTAAAAATTGATACGTAAAAGGATTTCTAGCTTATCATTGAACATAAATTGCACATTCTAACACCTAGCGTAATACTGTTTGCCAACTTTCTAACTCGAATTCTTCTAACTTTCTCTCGAATATCCTTCATTCTTCTAAAAAATACACACTCTTGGTCTGCGAAGAGGGTTATGATGCTCTTTAGTCAGATGATCTTTATGATGCTCTTTCAGCCAGAGGAGCATAAACTCTTTTAATGATAAATGCATGGAAAGAAGGTATATATTAGTCAAAAATAGGATGTTAGATGTATTTTTATATTTACTTTTTTGTTGAGCAATTTTTTTGCAATGTATTCTAACTTTGTCTACTTCTATTCTAATTCACTGCATCCTAATTATCTGAAACTGAACGCCCTACATGCTTTCTCTACATTTAATTTTTTGATATCTTTATTATTACTTTATTTATTTATTTTTTTTTTTACTGTAGATAATGATTTATTATTCTGACCTGATTATTATATAGATGGATCGCAAAAATGAATCTTGAAAAATGAAATAAAATTGAAAAGAAAAATCCTGGTAAAACATAGTACATCGAACTTGACATTAACGTTTTGTTTATATTTATTATATATTTTTTTATAATATAATAAATATTATAATATAGTATAATTTGTCATAATAAAATATTATTTGTTATCGTAAATATCATATAATTAATAATTATTATATATATATATATATATATATATATATATATATATATATATATATATATTATATATATATATATATATATATATATATATATATATATATATATATATATATATGATAATTATTAATTATATGATATTTACGATAACAAATAATATTTTATTATGACAAATTATACTATATTATAATATTTATTATATTATAATAAATATAATAAATAAATATCATATAATTAATAATTATTATATATATATATATATGTATATATATATATATATATATATATATATATATATATATATATATATATATATATATATATATATATATATATATACATATATATATATATATATATATATATATATATATATATATATATATATATATATATATATATATATATATATATATATATATATATATATATATATATATATATATACAATAACTACTATAGTATATTATAATTTGTAAATATTTATTATAATTATTTTTATTATTATAATTATTTCATCAACAGATGAGGAGTTCATCTGGAAAATGCGCTAAGTCCAAGTAAATTGAATTTAAGAAAATGATAATAACTGAGCCATTTATAGTTGTGCATCAAAATAAATTTTTATATATTTTTTCTATTTAACATAAAAAATAAAGTGGAAAAAAATTAGTGGTCTAATATTTAAATTGAAAATAAATTTTAATCTATAGAATGTGTAAATGGAATTAATTCATTAATTTTTTTTTTGTGACTTTCGCGCGTTTTGCATGTGGTCTATGTGATTAAAATAGATTTTCTTTAAATATTTTGTAAGTAACTAAAGCGCTCAAAACAACTGTTTTTTTTATTGTTGTGTTTAATGTGTATTATGTTATAATTTTTAATCATTTCACGAGTAGTTTGTTATTAGTCGTATTACATTTTTATGACAACAAATTATTTTCATTTATTTTTTATTTTCGCGTAAACTCTGTAAGATGAGTTAAGTAACTGTCTGTTTGCTGAATTAACGAATTTTTTTTTCTTAATTTGAACGAAATAAATAATGAAATAATAAACGTGCTGTCTCTTTGCTGCCTGGCTTTCTCCATTAATTTGTACAGAAAAAAATGAAATACGGAAACCGTGAAATTTACGGAGAAAGTTCTGTATCTTTTTTAACAGACTTTTTCCGTCGATTTTTACGGAAATTTGAAACTACGGAAACTGTTACTTTTTACGGAGAAAGTGCTGTCACTTTGCAGCCGAACATTCTCCGTTGAATCTACGGCGATTTTTTAACAGTGTAGGCACATGATTTTTTGATGTTTCAGATATGACACTTTCAGGTATTGTGTAATCTTTATTACTTTATTAATAAATTACGTCTTATATATTTTAAAGACCGTTATACTCATGCCAAGCCTCTTTTATTTGAAATGAAAGTTTTTAATATATACGAGATTAATATTTTTAATATTCTTTGTTTTATGTTTAAATGTAAAACCAATTCATCCCCGATTTCTTTCCATAATTTGTATTCATCAAAAGATAAAAATAAATACATTTTACGCAATAATAATTTTATTAAGCAGCCCAATTTTCAAACAAATCTTTTTAAATTTTGTCTTGATTATCGCGGACCATTCTTATGGAACAAAATAGTTTTAAAAAATTTTACTGAGGATTTTATTAATCAAAGTAACTACTTTTCTTTTAAACAAAAGCTTAAAGAACTCATTTTTGCAATCGATGATTTAACAATATACTTCTGATATTTTTTGTGATCTTTATTTTTACCATTTATTTAAACATGAACTTATAAAAAGTATATGTGTATCCTTAACAACTATAATTTACATATATAATAGATAAAACGCATCTTGTATTTATTACGGATTATTTTAAGTTTCTTACTTTTGTTAACTTATTTTTATTTTTTAACCTTGTAATTATCTTTTTAATTTTAACACGAACATTTCTTAGCGGTACTCGACGACAAGACCGTATGGTCTTCTACGAGTCCCCGCGTTCTTTTATTTTCTAATAACGACCATTATATTTATATATAAATTTATTATTATACATTTGTATTTGAAATATTGTAACGAAATGCTTATTTTACATGTAATAAAAGAACAAAAAAAAAAAAAAAAAAAAAAAAAAAAAAAAAAAATCTGGAAACTTGAGTATAAAAGTTTTAAGTAAACCTTTTAGTATTGAAAAGCTATCATAACTTTAAGTTTACAACCGCTTCAATTTGGGTAGGGTGAAACTTTGTATGGTATCCCTCACGTTAGGGGTAGGGGCAAACATTTTGGCGCAGTTTTGTTCCCAGGCTTCAATCACCGCGATTTTTTAGCAAAACATTTTCGATTTGACATAAGTACCAACATACTTAAATTTAGAGTTTACACAATGTCTGAAAGTGTTATGTCAATCAGTGACTGATCCAAGATTTTTTGGCGGTGGTAAGTATGTGTTTCCTTTTATAAAAAAAAGGTCCTAAATTTCTAAGATATTTTAGGACTTTCAGATTCTGGTAAGGAAGAGGGGGATAGCATACCCCTGGATCCGTCACTGATGTCAAAGTGTTTGTAACATCAAAAAAATCTTGCTTTCTCTGATTTAGATGTTTTTTTATTTTTGCTAACAATTGGTATATTTTGTACAAATCATAAACGATGTTTCACATAAAAGCATTCTTATATTCAGAGCCGACGACACGAGTTTCGAAGTGGGGCACAGTCCTCAATTATTAAAAAAAGTCATATATATATGAAATTTTTTTTATAATCTTCGGTGTGCTTAAAATTATATTTTTCGTCAGTTTTTTTTGCAAGAAGCAACGTTTTTTTTCTTTTCAAAATTTCTTTTTTGCTTTACCCAATATTTTATTATTAAAAGTTGTTGCGTAAGACTAAAAAGATTTTAAAAAACCTAATAAAAAAAACTTTAAAATGACTTTACACATAAGATATAAATCAAACTATTTTTATGAAAAGGGTGATGTCAAACGATGTTAGTTTATATCTAAATTTGATTATTTGGAATACTTTTAATATTTAATCAGACGTAATCAGTATTATAACAATGTCGATAATAAAAGTATTGACATAGCTGTTATTCGGCGGAATCGAATAAATAAATAGAAATACGTAAAAGTATTTCAAATTTGTATTTTTTATAATAAACACTATTCATCTTGAATGGAATCAAAGTGAAATTGTAGTTAATTGCGACACGTGCAAATAATACAGAACCTAACCGTGCCGGCGCAAACGGTTTAACGGGTGGCCCCCTGCTGTAGAGTACTTTTTTAGATTTCAAGATACTGAGGACTTTTTTTAGAAAATTGCAAATTTAATAATAATAATTTTAACAATTACTATCTTTACTTAAGATGTAATTAACGTTTATTTTTTTATTTTTTGTGGTTTCTAAAAGCAAGATTATTTGAGCTTGGTCATGTTTTTTATTTGCTTTTTTATTTCAGCTGTGGCTTCAGCCCTGTGTTTCATATCGAAATGTTTCTCAAATGAAATGGCGTTTATAATATTCATGTTAAAATTATTTTTTCAAAAAAGGATATTGTAATATTAACGGCTGGCATTGATTAATTCTTACTTAAAATACGTCACTAAAGTTCACAAAAATGAAGTTTTTTTTTTTATGTAAAGAATTTAATAAAAACGCAATATCAAAATTAATATTTTAATATGATGACGATTTTTGTTTCTTATCGATTAAAACAAAATTAATCTTATGTTTTTAAAAGTAACTTACAAATACATCATATTGTTGAAAAAGACATGAAACTTTCGGGAAACTAAATAAAAAATGAATATAGGCTTAAACCGCCAATCAGCTTATTAATTTTTTTTTTCAATGTTATTATATAACTATATGTTAACTAATTAACTTATTAAAATTACTATTATTTTTATAACTATTTTTAACATATTTTTTAATATATTTTTTAGATATTAGAAGAACTTTTTAACACCATTAAATCTTTTTACAGAATAATAAATTACTCAAAGAAATAGAAAAAAACTATCAACACCATTTGTAAAATATAAATTTATAGATTAAGGAAAAGAGTGAAAAGTTGCAAAAGATGGCATTTATTGATCAAAGTAAAGCAAAAGATTCTGTTTCGATAATGGGTATTAAATCTTCATACTTGTCTGCGTGCTTTCTTATTTCTGTCGTAAGCAATACCATGGTTATCATTGCTATTTTAAAGACCAGAAAACTCCAGACAGCATCAAATTTATTTGTTCTTAACCTTGCTGTGTCTGATCTGTTGTTTACTATATGTGGTATACCTACTATTATTATGACTACAATAGCAAAAAAATGGCTGCTCGGAGAATTTGTTTGCGACGCAGTTGGTTTCTTAAATTCATTATTTTGTACAACATCGATATGGACTCTGGTAATGATCAGCATCAATAGATACTTTAACGTAGCCAAAGCTAAAAATGTAAAAACAATGTATACTCAAAGAAGAGTTCTTATAATCAACGCTGCTGTATGGATGTTTTCTGTCTTTTCTTCAATACCTCCGCTACTTGGATGGGGAGAGTTTAAAGCTGGGACAAATTTTTGCACAATTAACGGAAAGAAATCTATATCTTATTCTTTTTTTTTGGGCTTAATAGTCTATTTGGTTCCATTTATTTTTTTGTCTGGCTTGTATACATGCATTTTTTTCATTTTACATAGACACCAAAAAAACAAGAAAAAAAATAAAATTAGCGTTACGTCGGAAACTACGTCTGCTAACGATATTGAATTAGATTTAAATACTTCAATTTTACAAATGCCGGTAAGGTTTACAGCGCACACAATTCATGATTATTTTAGAGAATTTTTTACTCAAAAGCGATGCTGTGTAGCTCCAGTAGCAATAATTAAAATGGATCATATAAAAAGAAAGGTTGGTGCACGTTGTTCAACAAAACAACTTGATAAAACACTAGTTCGAGTTATTAAAAATTATGTTAAAGAAGTACGACTGACGAAAGTAATGATGCTACTTGTAATTTCTTTTTTCGTTTGTTGGACTCCTGCTGTCATAGGAATGCTTTTTTATTCTTTGAACATCAAATGCAAAAACTTTGATACTGTTACATTTGGTATCATGTGCGCATGCTTAAATGTTGTACTTAACCCAATCATTTACGCAGTTCTGAATAGTAGACTGAGAAAACGTATGGTAGAAATGTTAAAAATTTTTCTGTTTTTTTCCGCCCAAAAAATACGATAATAAAAAAACTAGTCTTCTGAAAAACCATAAAGGTTTAAAATAAAACAACGACATATTTAAAGATTTGCTTTCAGCGAGGACATAGGAAGAATAATTTCAATAAAAAAAGGGCATTTCAACTGTTATTCAAACATTGGAAAACTTTAAAGTCTAAAATAAAATTATCTGGTTTGAATATCTGGAAAAGGCATTTATATAAATATATATATATATATATATATATATATATATATATATATATATATATATATATATATATATATATATATATAAACATATATATATATATATATATATATATATATATAAACATATATATATATATATATATATATATATATATATATATATATATATATATATATATATATATATATATATATATATATAAACATATATATATATATATATATATATATATATATATATATATATATATATATATATATATATATATATATAAACATAACTTTTAACTTTTGTATTTTTTTTATTTGAAATGCATTTTGGTTAAAGCAATAGAAAAAATCTCGCACAAGTTTAAGTTTCTTTAATTATTACAATGTAATAACTGAAATTACTAGTTTCATTATTATTTTGTTGTAATGATAAGGTAAGTTGAAGCCATTAGAACTCTGAGAAAAATATTTATCTGATATTACTCTTGCAGTTTTAAAAGTTATATATACTAATGTTCCTACAGTATTCTTTTGCTAACCTATTGCTATGATTACAAAAACTGTGATATTTTTGAAATTGAGTTGTTTATTCAATTTATTTTTTTGTAGAATTCAAAATAACGCATGCATTTTATACATAGTTATTTTATTTTGTATATGAGTATTTACTTAATATTTATCTCCAAGAAATATCTATTGTTGATTTAAAAAGTTTTGCTTGTTCAAATATATAGGAGAAAGAAAATGAAATGATTTTTGAAACAAAGATGTTGAATTTTAAACAAAAATGCTGAAATTCAAAACTTGTTTTAACCAAAAATTAATTCGTCCATTAGAGCTTAACAAAGGTGTAAAATGTTATCTAAGGGGCTGTTCATATAAAAAAAATATCTCTCTTGAGCGGGACGTTTTTAAGGTCACGTAACCTTTATTTATATATAAGACTGGGTGAATATAAAAAAAACTGTTGTTTTTACTCGGAGAGTAACCCTCAGTAATTGGTCAGCTTTTCGTGAATAAAAACTTTAGCAGTTTTTCTTAAATTATTATTACGTAAAGCTGAGCAACTACTCAGTGTTTTGAAAAAAACTTTAGCAAATTCACTCAAAATTTGAGTGAATTTGCTAAAGTTTTTATTCATGTAAAGCAGAACAATTACTCCAAAAATGCTGAGTAAAAGCAATTGCTTTTTTTATCCACCCAGCTTATAACCATTTGTTGCATTTACTACTAAATGCAATTAAAGCATAGACCAAACAAACTCTTAAAAAAACACAAAAAAAACCCGATAATTTCAAACAAATCCAATTGGTTGTTAGTGAGAAACCGAAAAACTTTTTATTTATTGGTATTTAATATATGCAAACAAAGAATTCGAATTGAAAGTAATTTGTTTATAAAGTTTACCGCCTCTGTTTTTTAATTGTTTTCGAATTGAAAGTAATTTGTTTATAAAGTTTACCGCCTCTGTTTTTTAATTGTTTACGCAATAATTTATTATTTCAAGATGGCTGAATAAGTCCCGATTACTTCAAAAAAGATACTAAATACCGAAAACAGTTTTTTAAATGGGGCTAAAAGTTATGATTATTTATGCAAAAACGACTTTGGTAGAAAAATTAACACTACCATAAGTTATCTAAACCTAACGTGACATTTTTGTTAAACATACTCATTTAGGTGTGGTATTGAAAATAGTAACTTCAATTTTCATAAAATTATGGTTTTTCATGGATAATTTCCCAAATAATATCTGATTACCGGTTTTTACATCCATTTAAAACAATCATGACAACCATTGAAAACAACCATGACATTCATTTAAAACACCGCGACAATCAATTAAAATGTTTATGTACGTAGTTGAACGACTTAAACTTAAAAACAACCAAATGCTTATTAAATTTTGTAAAAACACTGTCAAGTCTAGCCGGGTTGATTTCAACTTGTGTTATTATATAAAAATTTCTGGTAATCTATGGGCGAGATCTCACCTAGGCGGAGTGAATAATGTAACACTTGAACGCGATGTTAAAATTATACGAGTTTACTAAAATCCGATGGCTTTTTTATTCCAGTTAGGCGGGGTAATTTTGTTCGTATGAGCAGTTCCTAATGCTGTTTGAATTTGAATCAACAAAAAACTTGGCTGTAAAAAATGTAAACTGTTTATAGATCAACCAAATACTGTTGTTAAAAAAAAGAAAAAAAAAAAAAAACCTGTTATAGTCTTGCAGATGTATTCTCTGGATCTGTCGTCTAAACTTTCAATACTGTTTAACAATTGTTTGTCAGAGGCTTTTTTTCCAGCCTACTGAAAAGCGGCATCTGTTTAAAAATTCTGTAAAGCAACTTGACTCGTCAAACTACCGTCTCGTTAGTCTTCTTAAATCATAAGCAGTCTTGAATTAACAAACACTTAAGCTCTCATCTTGAGAACTTACTTTCTGAATAATAATATGGATTTCGTTCTTTTTGTTAACAGTGTTAACATTTGTTAACAGTAATAATTGATAGATTTCATAATACATTAGATAAATGTGGAGAGACTAAGCTATCACTCTTGACATTTCTGAAGCTTTTGATAAAGTTTGGCATGCTGGTCTTCTCCATAAGCTCTCTTCTTATGGTGTATCAGATAACTCTTTAAAATTATTGAATCTTTCCTTACCAGTTGTAGTAGAAAAGTTGTTCTTGATGAACAGTATCCTTCTTCATATCCAGTGTCTTCAGGGGTTCTTCAAGGTTCTATGGCCTTTTACTTTTTTTAATTTACATTAACAATCTCCCGCTGTCACATCTAATGTGGCATTGTTCGTTGATGATACTAACATTTGTACTTGTCTTAATAAAAAGCCAACACCTCTGAGCTTGAAAAGAATCTTGCTTCTGCAACAGCATGGGGCTTTCGATGTCTAATGAACTTAAATAAAACTCAACTTTTTTCAGCTAATCATTGTTGCAATAATCTAGGTTTTTCTATATTTATAAAAGGTAATGTACTCGATTAGTCATTTACCCTTCATTTTATAGGATTAACTCTTACTTCCAAACTCTCTTGGAAACCATATATTATATCCATTAAAAAAATAGCATTTCCAAAGATTGTATTTATTTATTGTGCTCTCCACTTTCTTACTCCCGATTCTATTCTTTATCTCTTTAAGTCTCAGATCAATTCTTGTATGGAATACTCCTGCCATATCTGGGCCGGATCTTCCAACGAAGCCTTTTCTCTTTTAGACAAGGGGAAAAATGAATTTTTTTTTTTTTTTAAATTTATTTCGTCAGTAAAAAAAAAGAATACAATGCTGTGTAATGTAAATAAGATCTACATGACCGGGGTTAAAAGAATACTTGCCTTATCACTACACCCCGACGTGCTTTCATAAGCAAGCGTGTACAACCATTAAAAGTTAAATATACAATTATTTTACAAATTATTTACAAGTATGTTAAGACTAGTTACTAATCTATAATCAAAAGAAAATAGTAAAAAGAAATTAAAAAAAAAATCAAAACTATTGATAAGCTAATAGGATAGTTTATAGAGTTAATAAGATAATTGTTAAAAATAAAGAAAAAATAAAAATAAAAATTTTTTAAAAGGAATTTAATTCATTAACATCGTTGATAAGTTTTTATTTCAATTTTTTTTGAATAGGTAAAGAGAAGAACAATTTTTCAGCTCGTCACTTAATAAAGCGTTCCATAATTTAGGACCTCTTATAGGAATAGAAAATTTGGTAGCCAAATAATGCATTTTAGGTTGCTCATAATTGTACTTAGAAAATCTTGTAGGGTACATGTGATTAATTTTATTGAAAAGTGTATTAAATATTATAGGTGATATTTTATTATGAAGTTTGTACATAAAAATAAGAATTTGATAAAGGTTTAACTGAAAAACATTGAGTATGTGAAGATTATTAAATAGTGTAGTAATAGTATGTGTGAATCGACCTGCATTTGAAATAATTCTGACAGCATGTTTTTGTTTAATAAGCAGTTTTTTAATTTTACTTATATTAGAGCTGCACCAGGCAATGTTTGCATAGTTTATATAACAATGTATGAGGGAGAAATATAAAATTTTTAGGCAGTTTTGGTTTAAAAACTGCTTGGCTTTGAATAGTATACCAATATTTTTTGAAACTTTATTTTCTATTGTACCTATGTGTTCTCTTCATGTTAAGTTTTTATCAAGTATCTCTCCTAAAAATTTTATTGATGACTCTCTAATTATTTTAGAGTTGCCAGTATAAAGATTAGGAAGTTTTAGTGGAATGTTTTCTTTATCGTGAACTCTATAAAAAAAGTATACTTAGTTTTATTTAAATTTAAGGACAATTTGTTCGCCTTGAACCATTCCGCTAGAATTAAAAGTTCTTTGTTTACTATTTTAAATAAAAGTTTAATATCTCCATTAGAGTAAAATAAATTCGTGTCATCTGCAAATAAAACAGAGTTTAAAATGTTTGAAAACTTATGAAAATCGTTTACATAAATAAGAAATAAAAGAGGACCCAGAATTGAACCTTAAGGAACACCGCAATTTTTTGTCATATAGGAGGATTTTCCTTCTTCGTATGATATGTATTGTTTTCTATTGTTTAGATAACTTATGAACCAATCTAAATATGTGCTTTTAATACCATAACTTTCGAGTTTTTTTATAAGAATATTATGGTCTACTGTATCAAAAGCTTTGCTAAGATCTATAAATACTCCAAGAGTAAACTTTTTCTTGTCTAATGCTTTAAATATATCATGAACAATATTAATAATGGCATGGTCAGTTGAATTACCTGGCTGAAATCCAAATTGTTTATTATATAAAATATTATTTATATTTAAAAAATTCAAAATCCGATTATACATAATTCGTTCTAAGATTTTTGAGAAGCAAGGGAGAATTGAAATTGGTCTGTAATTTTCACAATTTGAAATATCTTCTGATTTAAAAATAGGTATATCCCTTGCAATTTTAAGTATCTCAGGATAGA